TAAATTTTACTTAAAAACCTCAATCAATAAATAAATTTTTATAGTGCATTGGTCCAATTAAAAGCAAACAAATTTATTTGTAAATATCAATAAATGAGTTGGATTATTTCAAATTTCATTCATTTAAACTTCAGGTTTTAAAAGAATATTTAAACATTATTTATTTACTGATTTGAGAAAACAAGATCTAACTTAATTCAAGTTGTTCATAAAGTGAGTGCATTGGGCCATTTGAATAATTATTTACATATATAAAATTGATAAATATATAATATTTGCTTGATAATTAGGACATTTAAATAATTATTTACATATACAACACCCAAACTTTTATATTTGTAAACATATCACTCAAAATCTTTAATATTATAGCCAAAGCACTACTAGATAGATTTATGGCATCTAAACACATCATGAATGCAAACACATTTTATTAGATATGTAATACATAAAAAGGTGTGGACCTAATTTTAACAAGGATGAGCTTTAATATTTAATTTTCTCTACAATAAATAAATAATTCTTTATAGCTTGCTCACTATAAAATAAATACAAAAAAAAAAGAAAAAATCCCTCATAAAAAAAATTCAATCCTCAAAAATCAAATGATCAAAGCCAAACACATTAGCACAACCGTCCAAAATAAATATGTGAATTAAATTCAATAAGCATTGTAACAATGCACTAGCATATTTTACAGTCAAATGATTTCTTCAAATAATTCTAACTTTGTCAATATCTGTAATATTGTAGCATCTATCATCACCCAAATAGACTGAACCAAAATCAGATAACATGTATGAAGTAAATGGTTCTCTGTTATGTGTTATGTGATAAAAGTATCATGAATCAAGAATACATGCATCCTTCACCAGATGTTCATAAGAGAATGACAATGAACACAGCATAATCATTGATCGGTCTTCATCCTCAATACGCACATCAAGTCGTCTAGAATCTGTGATTATTTGATTGAATTCATTCAAATGCTGCACCAGATCAGTGTCAGCCTGCATCTTCAGCCCATACTGTCTTTGTTTCAGATACAGTTTCTTTGTTAGAAATTTGGATATATACTGAGATTTCAATTTTTCTCATACTTCTCCTCGATATTTCAGATTCATAACATGATAAATAATTTCATTTGTCTGACATAAACGTATGGTACCTACCGCTTGTTGTTGCAATTCTTCTCAATCTTCATCTTCTATATTATCAAGTTTTGTAGCTCGCAAACCTTCAAAATTTCATGTTGTGTCAACCAATCTTTCACATTTGTTTGCCACAACCCGAAGTTCCCAGTTCCATCGAACTTCACTATCTCAAATTTTGCATCATACTTTGCTATTTGAAATTAATCCTGCAGCAAATTTTTTCTGTCTTGTGTTGAAACAAAACACACCGTAAATAAATTTAACGAAACCTGAAACTTTTCTATCAATTGCAATAATTTTCCTGCAATTTTGTTGTGATTCGTGAAAATTTTTTTTTTGCAAGAAGCACTTTTCCTGTTCGCGTAAACATCTCGGCTAAACTATTGTCCTACGAGCAAAACTCTTCGCTTGTTTCCAAAAAACCTCGTGCATGTTCGCAAAATACCTCTGTGAAACCACTGTTCCTGTTCGCCCTAACTGCACGCCAACTTCTGTTCGCGAACTCCACTCGCCAAACGTCGCCATGGTTCGTGAACTATCGTGCCTCAAAGCCCCACCGGCTTTCGAAGAACTGAACTCCTCTGTTTGTCGCAGAAGAAGCATGAATGCGCGAACTTCCTGCCGCGGAAGAAGTACTCTCATGTGAACCCACGACTGTGCCTCTACCGTGAACTCTCGAACCAGAACTCGCTGAACTGCAGCAGCTCTTTATCTGAACTGCTTCGCACTCGTTCATTCCCGCGATATCGTTCGCAAAATTTGTGAATGCCTTCGTCCGGATGCCACGAACCGCCGAATTCATCGAACTCCCGTGGGAACTCCCTGCAAGCAGTCCCGACGATTCAAGAACTCCTCTAGCCACAGAAACTCCTTCCCGCACGGGACTCGCGAACTGCTGTAACGATTTGCAAACTCTTCTGCAAAACTCCTCGCTGAAGCTTGCTTCACCGAGTTTGTAAGCCCTCTGCATCACTAGACATCGCAGAACCCTGCGATTCGCGTCGCGATTCAATTTCCTTGAATCGCCTAGTCGCTCAAGCCCCCTGCCACAAATTCATAGGCAAAGCACCGATGCCACCGATGAAGCTTTGCCTAATCTTCTCGCCGAATTTACGCACCTCTTCGCGAAATGCTCTGCGTCAGTGAATTTGCAAATCCTTCTTTGCTTCGCAAACTCCCGCGAATAATATCATTCCTGTGACACAAACTTCGTCCATTCGCAACTCCTTCGCCCAAACAAGTTCGCAAAAGCCTGATTCACTTCTGGACGATGTCCTTCGCCTGAAGAACGATCTGTCTGTCGCAAAACCCTCTGCAGGCCGCGATTCATGACTCTTTCAACACTTTAACCCTAGCCGAACACAAATTGCGCGCAAATTTTTCTTCACTGCCCTAGGACTTAGAACCTCGCTCTGATACAAATTATAGAGAAATTTAGGGCAAAAAAAAAAATCAACACAAAGTCAGAAGAATACAGATATTTAACGAGGTTCGGCAAATATGCTTACGTTCTTGGGAGAAGAGCGGCAAATTTCACTATTTCAACGGAGTCCAGTACATATCATAGGGTTACACATAATTTATATGGATAAAACTCACAGATAAAATTACTAACACGCCCTCGCTCCCCTCAACCCACTAATCTCCAAGAGACAAACTTCTTCACTCAAAAAAACTCCAAATTCTGGTATATAAGTCATATCTAACACTTTTTTAGTAAATTTTTTCAGTTTTTTCAGGATATTCTGCTGAAGGATTGCATATTTTCTTAAGCAAGCTCCCGAGAAGACTTAGTTGATCCATGATTTATGTTTCATTTTTCTTTTCATTTTTGTTTGTTTCAAGAAAGATCTCAATCGATTCTGAATCTTTCTTTTCCTATTGATTCTTTTTCGATCGAGATGTGCGGGTCCATGGATCTATGTGTCTATATAGATCATGTTCATAGATTAACGAAAATGCGCAAAAGCTCTATTTGCCCTTACCATTCTATGAGCTCTTTTTTTTTTTACTTATGACATCGTCACTGTCTACTAATTGTCTCGTTGAGATTTTTGAACAATGTGATGAAGAAATTACTGGGTTATATCCTCTGATATGTTATTCTTATTTTACTAGGGGTCTTTTTTTTTTTTATCTAAAAGAGGAACTTAGAGTAAAATGAATGCAATGTATAATAAAATGTATTGTATTTAAAATATATTTGAACTGTTTCGTTGAGTACACTGTAAATGCAGAAGACTATTTCTTGGCTTGAGATAAAGTTAATTCATTATAAAACCCTTTGGCTGTAGCGGCGAGGCAGCTGAGAATCGTCACCGATGATAATGTTCAGCATTGTTGGCAGGCGTGGAATGAAGCTTTACATGGCCATGTTTATCTACTATCAAGTAAAAAATTTTGCTCCTCACAAGTGGTATTAGAGCTAAGTTGCTATGGGGCTTGTGATGAGAGGTTCGTTTAGTTTGGAGTAAAGTCCAAAATGATCATCAACAAGGCAAGAAGCAGAATCTCAGGCAAGCTTAAGGTATGTGTTAGTGCCATTGTAGGCTGATAAGGGTTTGAATCCTACTTAGAGAAGTTATCATGGGAGATGAAGCCAATGAGTTCCCAAAGCAGGAGAATGCCTATGAAGATTTTTTGGAAGCCATGAAGAAGAAGTTGAATGTGCTCATGGTGGAGCTCTTTGTGTTGGAGTTAGCACACTTGAGTGGGGTGATGATTGTGTTGTTTGCATGAGGTTAGCCAAGATAGCGGACAACTTCATATGGAGCTACATCCATGCGATGAACTTTGTGGATGTTGCACCATCGGTAAGCATTACAAAGGATGAAGCTTGAGCTAAATTTCATTGCTTGCACATAAAGGTAATGTTCAAGAACAAGTGGAGTTCTCAAAGCTACTATTTAGATGCCATTGAGGAGTGACAAGATGACATCATTTTTGATTTGCAACTCCTTGTGTGGTGACAATACTCGCTTGCCCTTCCTGGCATCTCCTAAAACAACTATGTTTAAAAATAAATAAAAGAATAATAATAATAATAATAATAATAATAATAATAAACAAATATAGTTAAAATAAAAATAAATAAATGTCAGAAGTTATTAGGAATTGATTTATTTTTTTTCTGTTACTATGGTTTTTTTCTTTTTATCTATGGCTAGTTATTAAAAATTGATTAATATTAATCTTGGATATATAGGTATTATGTTTTTCTTATTTTATGTCTTTCTTTGTATGCCTCGGTAGTTATTAGGAACCTTATAATCTTGAAGATATAGGTGTTATCTCATTCCTACTTTAGAATTCATATGAGCTATATTTATATCTCCTTTCATATTAATAAAATATTCTACTATATACTCAAAACCTACAATAAATCAAAGTGGTGACAATGGTTCAATGAATCGACATGACATTCTCATCTACGAGTCGAAGAAAAGGATACTTTCGTTCATAAGACACCAAGAGAGCGAGAGAAAGAGACAGAGGAAGGAAGAAACTTGGCAGACAACTCCGTAGAGGAGAAGAAGAAAGTGATGCCGCAGATGAGAAGGAAAAAGAAAGGCGAAATCGTTTCCAGTCCTCTCATGCAGGTTCGAGCAAAGAAAAAGTAGACGGAGTCTCGCAATCGAACCAACCCCATGTAGAGAAGAGAGGAGTCGAGCTACTTCTGTGCAAAGGAAAAAGATGAAGGAGGAGGTGAGGCTTTGTGCCAAGGAATAAGAGAGGGAGCGGCTCTGTGTCGAAGCTGAAGGAGGGTTGCTGGTTTGAGCAGCCAAGGAAGAAGAAGAGTGAAAGCAGGAGCGAATCAAGCTGATTAGAGGAGAAGTCGGTCGTGTTCGTGTGAAGAAGGACAAAAAACTTGTGCGGGTAAGGAGATGAAACTTGTGCGGGTAAGGAGATGAACCGAAGGTGAACTAAAAGCATTAAGAAGGTTATTGCTTAGCTTTAAGTTTTTAAATTATATTGATTAATTAAATGCATTAAGTATTAAGATATGATTTAATAATAAAAAAAATTATGGTTAGAAGAACATTTTAGATTAAGGGAAGAAGAAGAAAGCGCGACCTTAGCAAGGTTGATGTTTATTTAGTATTTTATTTTGTCAATTAAATTATAAATTAATAGGTATTAGAACATGTTATATTGGTAATTATGGTTAAAAAGCAATGGTACAAGGATATTGGATTGAAATCAGGTGAGAATTTCTCCATTTAAAGCTAAGATAATGTTTCAATTCAATTGAAGTCATGAGTATTAAATACTATTCTAATAAATCAATTTCAGGAATCCAAATAAAATTGAACAAGTTATAGGAACGTTTTACAAGGTGAAATCAAAATAAATAATTATGTTTTTAAGTTACAGTAATATCTCTTGCTTTTAATATATCTCTTCTTGCAGTTTTCACTATTATGTTTTATATCAAAGAAATTAAATCACATAAAATTTTTATATCATTAGTCATAAGATATGCATGTTATATAATGTTCTGATAGAGATATATGTTTGCTTATTCCATAACCAGATATATGTGTATAATAATCTCTAAGGATATTTAGGCTTGACTGCCTAATATTCTTGTGATTGAATTGTAAAATGTTCTTTGTAGCCATAGAACATGTTGATGTCATTAAAATATGTTTTAATTGACTCTGTTGTGTTTTTGGTGCGGTATCTTTCTTTGGTGTTGGGTTCCCCGTCATTTAGTTCTTGGACCTTAAAAGTAAAATAATTCACTTTTACGTGACTTGTCTTCATCTTTCTGGTCTTTAATTGTTTTAATCTCCGTTTACATTGGATATAGACTTTGGAGTGGGTAATTTCATTTGTTTCTTTGTGATATTCATCTTCGTTGATATAGGATCTAGGACTTCATGGGTGAGTGGCCCCCATAACATCTAATCTCTTCTAGCGCAGGCTCTTGGAGCTTGGAGTGATACAATCTACCTAATGTAAGCTTAAATTAAAAGGAATTTGTTGTGAAATATGTTTAAGATTCAAAAGTTGAATCTAGAGAGTTGCACAAAGCTATATACTGGCCTTAAATAAATAAAGTTATTCCGAATTTACCCATACAAAGCTTCTTATTTTGCTAGAAATTAGCATTGTGCTTGTTGTGGATCTTCCCTGAGAAGACAACGAGGTTGTAATTATTTTTTTTTATGTGCGGCTTTTCATTTCCCATAATGGAGAAAATGTCTTGTACGAAAAAAACATATAACTTTGTTTCTGACATCTTAGGACGGAAAATTTATATCCTTGGTATAGCTAAAAATCGTGTATTAGGCGACCAGTGCGTTCATTTGGTCTTTTGTTCTTAGTTCCACGCATTTTCCCCTGTTTTCTACCTTTATACTGTCTATACCTCTCTTCAAAAATTTCCCAGATCGAAGTACAGTTGCTGACCAGTGGGGAAGCAAACCGACATCTCAGAATGGAGGTGATTCTAATTTGGGTTCAAATTCTTGCTGGTTTATGTGCGTATGATATATTTATATTTAACCTTAAGCACTTGTTTTGATTCAGATCAAGATCATGGAGCTGCAAATAGTTGGGTTAAAACTCCAAGCTCCAGTGCCGAGCAGAGGTCATGGAATAAAATGGAAAGTGGGGAGAAAGGTGCAGATGCGGACTGCGAAAATGATGCCGATGCGTGGAGGAAGGCTTCTACTAAGGCCGAAACTTCAACTGGTGGCTGGCAAGGTGATACCTCAGTTCAGAAAACAGGCCAGACCTGAAGCATAAAATGCTTGCAAAGAGAAAAAATGGCTTATAATTTATCCTGAATGGCTTATAATTTTTTCTAAGAAAAACGAGATGATATAATGACCCTTTGCTTGAAAAGAGAAAAAATGCTTGCAGGTGCTTCTGCTGGCTGGAGCAAAGAAGCTAGTGGAAAGGACAAATCAGATGGTTTTGTCGGGAAATCGGGTAATTCAGCTTCTCCAAAGAGTGGTGGTGATAATCTAGATTCATGGGGCATCAAGGGAAAAGCTTCACTTGAAAATAATGACGATGGCTGGGGTAAATCTGCCCCCTCTCAAGTCACAATAACTGTTCCTAACAATCCATGGCAAAGCTCTTTCAACAGCTCAGTACACAGTAAAGCATGGAGATTTGGAAGGGGTGGAGGTCGCGGCCGAAATGGAGCTGGTGGTTACGAGATAATTGTGGTAGAAGAGAGTTTGGTCGTGGCAGAGGCCGTGGCCAAGGTCGAGGCCGAGGGCAGGATCAGGGTCAACTTGAATCGTCCGGCTGGAGAAATGGACAAGAAAGATTCAACGGGGGCTTTTCTAATAAACCCTCGTCTAGTTGGGGCACCACCGAAGTTGGTGGCTGGGGCAATGGTGGGAACAAATATGATGGTGGTAACATACCTGCGTGGGGAACTGCTCCTCAGGATGCTGGTGGAAGTAAAAATGACATGAATGAGGACCATACTTCTAGTTGGAGCAAGGGTGTAAACTCTAGTAGACAGACAGACAACTGGGGCAAGGAAACGAGAAATAATGACAATTGGAACACTCCTAAAACCTTTGAAAATAAACATACTGGCTGGAACCAGACGAACGATGATACTTCTACAGATAGGGATGAGATGAAAAGTCTGAATGCGTCGAATTCTTCTGAACTTACATTAGCAGATTGGGGTCATGGCCTGCCTGAAAACAAAGGTGCTACAAATGATGAAAAATGGACTAAACCTAAATCCAGTCCTGGCGACCACTGCGATACATTATCAGGTAAGTTAAACTCAAACGATTGTTGGGAAACTGCTACACTGAACAAAGGAAATGAAGCAGGTGGGAGTCAAGGTGGGTGTAGTAAGAAAGTGGACACTCAGGCAAGCCAACCATCTTCTGAGCCTGATAATAACTGGGGAAAATTCAAGGAACCTAGCTCTGATAGCACAGCTGGGAATATGGGGAGTTCAAAAGATTGGGGTGGTAAGAACTCAGCAAACTGGGATTCCAAGACAAAACCAGCTTCTAACCCTGGTAACTGGGGTGGGAGGGATTTTTCTGGCAACCAGACAGCTGATTGGAACAATGGTGGGGTCAACAAATGGGGCCAGCAAAGTGGGGATCAGGTTAAGTCTGAAAGTTGGAAACGTGGGTCAGATTTTGGTCGTGGTGGCGGAAGAGGGAGGAATAATTCGTTCTCTAGAGGTCGCAGTTTTGAAAGAAATTCAGGTCGTCATCATTCTCGTGGTTGGATTAGTAATGATGATTCTAATAAAGAGAGTAATTATGCTGGGGGTGAATCATTTAATAATTCAAACGAAGATATTAAAACTGGGGGGAGCTGGAGTGGGGGAAATGGCACCTTTGAAGCTGAAAAAAGCAGTTGGAATAATGGAAGGAAATCTGAAGGAGAAAATCAAGCTATGCATGGTTCTGGGTGGGTACCCTCAGCTTCCTCATCGATCAACAAGATTGAGAGCTCGTCAGGCTCCTGGAATCCAGGGAGTTCTAAAGGTTCGAGCAATAACAACGACTCAACCAACTTAGATTGGACTTCTAATGCATGGGATTCTAAGTCAGAAACTTTGAGTCGTCGCTCTGATTTCGGTGGGGTTGGCGGAGGAGGAAGGGACAACTCGTTCACTAGCAGTGATCGCCTCGGAAGAACTTCCGGCGGCCGTGGTTATGGTAAACAAATCGATGATGAGCGGCAAGCATTTAACTCAAACCAAGAATTCAAAGCTGGGGGTATTTGGAATGGTGGAGGGCGGTGGAAAAGCTGAAAAGGGCTCGTGGGGCGGCTGGAAATCTGAGGGAGAAAATCAACCTGCTGGTCAAGCGAAGCCCAGGTCGGAGGATGAAAGCAGTTGGGATTCACCAACAGGATTTAGTAGCAACAAGGCATCTGGTGGCACCAACAGTGGCGAGCAGAAGAATTATCCGTCGGCTTCGACAAATGCTACCAGTAAAACGGGACATGATTCCACCATCGGATCATCGGACGAAAAACAGAAGCATTTTTTAGCCGAGAATGATCGAGTTGGATCTTGGGATACAAATAATTCGCAGAGCGAGGATGGAAATACGAGGAAATTAGGATCAGGTTGGAACAGAAGGGTCTCTTTTTAAAAATTATGATGTCATGATTTTTGTCTATTTAGAAAATTTTATTTTTGAATGATCTATTTAAAATAATAAATTCATAAAGATTAATATTTGTAAAATTTAGCATGTGTTTAGGGATAGATTAAAATTTATTGTGTTATTTTTCATTTCAAAATTAATTTGTAATAACAAGTAACCGAATTTTTTATATTTATCAGTGAGTATATTTTTAGAAGTACCTTGTATGGGAATAGGGCTGCAAACAAGTTACTCAGTTTGGCTCGAATAAAAGGTCGTTAATGTTCGATTAATTAACAAATTTAAAGGCGTGTATAAATACTCAATTGTTAAATGAATAAGTTTGAACAACATTTTATTTGTTTTGGTAAGATCAACAAGTAATTCATTTGCATGATGGATAAAGTTTATTTGATTAAAAAATATGTAGCTAAATCATACTACTCATTATTTTATTTGATAAGTCTCAATTAATTTTTAAGTAGCGCAATAGCATTAACTTTAATTTACTCAATAAAAATTATTTAGATATAAATTAAATAATTCGATAATATTACTCATTAATCTACTCGATAATAGCTCGATTATTATTATATGGAACGAACATGAATCAAACTCAAACAGTCAGAATGATAAATGAATTAAGTTTGAATATATACATAAAAGCTAGATTTAAACTCGAGCTTAAATGTTATAAATGAGCTCAAGCTTGAACGGACTTCCAAAAACTTGAATTTTATAAACAAATTTAAACTTGGAACACAACTCTTCTCAACTATGCTCGATTTGCTTGCAGTCCTATATATAGACGTAGGGCTTACCCTGGGGTTGAACCGGACCACCGAACCAATTCAGAAAGGGGTCTCATAGGGAGCTAGTCCTTGTCGGAGGCTAGGGTTCTCATTGAAGTGAGGCTCTTTTTTTTTTTAATTAAAAGTGATATTTTTTAATATAATATGAAAGATTTGGGTGGTATAAATGTAAAAAGTATAAGTCTAATTGTATGATATGTAAATACATAGGAATTGAGTGGTGTATATGCTAATGACCAATGGTATGATTAGTTTTCTCCACAGAAGAACGAGACAATAACAGACATTAGAAATGGCATTATTCATGTTCTAATAAGTGTGTTCAGTACCACAATAGCACTATTAATGTGATGTGTTCACTAACTAAAAAGAACTGAGCAAATCAGTTTGTTGCCCATTCATTGTTCTCTATGATTTTATTGACCTCATATTTCCACCTTAATTTGCAATGAAAAGCAAGTTTTAAAATAATAGATTTAAATGTGAGATCTTTTTTTTATAAATTGCAAGATAGCCCTATACAAGATTGCAAAAATAATTTTATTCTTACCGCTTAGTTCACGAAGATGGATCATATAATTGCAAAAATATTTTGTGCTCGTCCATTAGGGCTATAATCAAGCCGAGTTGAGTCGAGTACGACATGGGTTGAGTATGGCTTGGTTGAATCATAAGTTCATGTTTAGTTCGATCTTGAGTCGAGTTGTCACATATATATTCTTACTTTGACTTAATTTGTAATAAACATAAATGATTTATTACTTTATTTGTTTATGCAAGCCAAATCACTTTATTTGTTTATGCAAGTCATCTTAGCCCACTCGTTGAGAGCTGTCTTTTAACAAAAAAGTTTTTGTCATCTTGGGTTCAAAACCTTGTATATGTGATGTGAGTGCGTATGTGTTTGGGTGTGTTTGTGAAAATAAATAAAGAAAAAATAAAAATCTGATTTGTTTATAATAATTGAAGAAAAAAAGTACTTAATTTTCTAGTTTTCCTTATAAAATAAAATTAAAAAAAAACTTATAAAAAAGTGAATAAATGCTTGATTTTTTATATAAATTTATTAATAAATACTTTTAAATTTAAAATAAAAAGAAATATTAAAAAAACTATAATTAACATTTAAGTAGTTCAATTTATAGTTAATTTTTCATAATAAAATTAAAAATAAACTAAAAATTTTATTAAATGCTTAATTTTTTCTATATATAAAATTATTAATAAATAATTTTATGAATAAGTAATTAAACAATTTTAAGTTTAAATTTAACTAGTTTAGACTAAATAAATAAAGGGGCAATTACATATAGGCTATAGCGCCTGAACTAATTTATTACCCAAAAGTTGTAAAAAAATTCTTACAATAAAAACAAATAAATAAATACTTATAAATTCCTTTATTGAAATTAAAAAATAAGGGAAAATTGTATTAAATTTATATATGCTATTTATATAAAATAATAATATGCTATTATTAAATACATAATTAAACAAAATTCTATTTAGTCAAACTTTATTTAAAAAACATCAATAAATAAATAAATTTTTATAGTGCATTGGTCCATTTAAAAAACAAACAAATTTGATTATGAATATCAAAAAATGAATTGGATTATTTTAAATTTTATTCATTTAACCTTCAAATTTTAAAAGAATATTTAAACATTATTTATTTACTGATTTGAGAAAACAAGATCTAACTTAATTCAAGTTGTTCATAAAGTGAGTGCATTGGGCCATTTGAATAATTATTTACATATATAAAATTGATAAATATATAATATTTGCTTGATAATTAGGACATTTAAATAATTATTTACATATATAACACCCAAACTTTTATATTTACAAACATATCACTCAAAATCTTTAATATTATATCATGAATGCAAACACATTTTATTAGATATGTAATACATAAAAAGTGTGGACCTAAATTTAACAAGGATGAGCTTTTATATTTAATTAGCTTTAAATCCTCCCCCCAAAATAAATCCTCAAAAACCAAATAGTTCTAAGTAAACAACACTTCAAAGCCCGACACATTAGCACAAATGTCCATAATAAATATGTGAATTAAATTCAATAAGCATTGTAACAATGCATATTATCATATTTTACAGTCAAATGATTTCTTCAAATAATTAAAAAAAAAAGAGAAATTCTGAAACAAAGACCAAAGATAAGGTGGGCTTTTTTATTTTATTGGGCTACAGACAACTCAGATTTTATACTTTACAGTCCACCAATTTGCCATTTTTATAAAAAATAACAATTTGAAAAAGAAGCCAGGTCACAATTTCTCATTTAAATGGAGCATGCACTGCGATGGTCGTATCTTTTTCCTTTTCTCATCCTCATATAGCTGAAATATAATAGGTAATTATTAGAAAATGAGGCATTTACATACATATACCACCCTCTACTCCTATGTAATTACATATCTAACATATAAATTTTACCTTTTTTTTACATTTGTATCCCCCAAATATTTCGTATCACATCAAAAATATCAATCTTTTTTAACTTTGAACCTTTTTATGCAAATAGAAAGTGGAATATATATAAAAATTGAAGTTTTAAGGGTTATATGTGTAGATACAAAGGAATTAAGCGGTGTGTATGTAAAATAATATATTATATGGGTGGGAAAGTGAAGAACTTACGGCTTGTGGGAGGAAGCGGGGAAGTTGAACTCTCTTGGAGCCATCAGCCAAACGCTTTAGCGAAAACTGATTCTCTACAGCAGTAAACTCATTGAGAACCTGGAAAACATTATTGTTATTCTAAAAAAATACTGTGGGTTGAAAAAAATTGAAATTGATTATATAATCTGATGCATAAAACAAAAAAAAGGAAGATTTACATACCACTCAATCCATATGTATTTACATATCTAACACGAATACTTCAATTTTCATGAAAAAAAAAAATTGTACTTCACTTTTTAAGAATTAAAATGATGGTATTTTTAATGTGATATGAAAGATTTGAGTGGTATAAATGTAAAAAATAAAGTTTAGATGCTAGAATGTAAATACATAGCATTGAGAATTAAGTGCGCTTAACTGATGACTAAGTGTTTGTTTGGAGCAATTACAATTATCTACTAATTTAAATTTATGCAACAAAAAGAGAAGAGAATAGCCAAAATAACATCTCAATATCTAAATCTAGACCATCTTTCTCTATATCTTTAAAACAATGCAATGTACCTTTTTAAAGCTTAGTAAGATATTTGATTTCAATACGACCATGAACAAAGGCTTATTTAAGTCGACCGCAAAATTATTTTGCTTTCGCTATTGTTATGCTTGATATTTTAATTATAATTCATTTGTGAATCATCATATTCACTCTAGGATTAAGACACTATCTGTACTTAGAATTTGTATTAGAGCAAAGTTATGAAAAACACGATGGCAACGAAATAGTACGATGGATAGATTTATGGTGTTCTTATCTAGTAGGTACTTGTGAAAGCACTTATAACAAGTAACAAAAGCCCTGAAACCATGAGTAAAAAAACAAATGGATAAGAAGGTTTGTTCTATGATTCAATTGTATTTTGCCAGATTGGAACTTAACAGAAGGTTTAAGAAACTAATTGCAAAAAAAATATATATATGATTCAAGTTGAAATGTTTGTAAATGACAAAAAACCTCTCCAATACATTTTATCAGAAACAAACTATTTAATTCACATTCAGGAAGATATGACTATTAAATCACATTGGAATGAGTTAAATCAGTCAATCATATTTGAGAAATATAAAAATCAATATTGATAAAAAGTAAAACTTTATTATTAGGGAAATTTACACACCTAGCACACAATTCTTATGTATTTACATATACATAGCATTTAGGTGCTTTAAACATATGCATGAAATTGGTGTATTTCAGCTTTAAAAAATAATAATAATGTTATTTTTGATGTGATATTAAAGATTTAAGTGTTAAGTGAATTACTATGAAAATTTAGGTGTGAGAATGTAAATACATTAGAATTATCTGATATGTGTAAATTCCCTTATCATTGTGCTCTCTATCATTTTTCTTATAAGCACTTTTAAGATATCATATTATATGATTGTAGCACACTAAAGTATAAAAATGTTAATTCACCACTTAATTCCAAATTTGACTTAAATATGTACCAAATTTGAAGTATAATAAAATATTTTAAAATGCTCTTAATATTATAGCATATCAGTTTTTATTAATGCCAAAACACTTCAATTTTTTAAAGATGTGTTTGTAATCTTGAAGGCAAATAAAATTTATAGACTCTGTGTTGCAATATGAAAAGTCATGTGTTAATATATTGGATTCAACAATTTTAATGATAAAAAAATTTAAATAGTTTTAATTATATGATATAGAGCATTTTAAAAAATGAGAGCTACTATAAAATCTATTAACGATGGTTCTCAAAAAATAGTGTAATATACAATTTCTATAAAGTAATAACTTTCAAAGGATGAATAAGCATTATATGATAAAGAAAATTTTAAAAAAATAAAAAATAACACAATAGTAAGATAATGTTTGACAAATTTTTCACAATGAATCGACTTATTAAAAGCCCACAAGCAACCTCAATGAATGACAATATCGACGTGTCACAAGTAAAACAGATGGAAACGTTCAAGTAAAGTCCAATTCATTCAGTATTTTGCATAAAATCATATATTGTGTTTTCAAGATTGGTAACTATTAGCTTAAAATGTATTCACACTTGATTTTTAAAAACAATAACTGCATATTTTACTTTCAATTTTTAAAGATATTGGTTAAGTAGTTTATTTATATCCAGTGATTCTCACTCATCATTTCATGATGCAACTATGACTAAGTAAAAAAAAATGAATGGTTTCAATTTTTCATGCATCCCCTACACAATGCAACAAAAAAAAGGAGAGCAAAAGATAAAAAGAGGTGAAGAATGCCATCAAAAAGAAAGCTTTCTTTCAAGTGCTTGCAAGGGGAATGGTTCAACTTCAAAAATAGAAGAAGTGACGCTACTTCAATGCTAGCAATAAAAAAACTATCAAGTCATGTCAAGGAATAATTTTCATTTGAACACTTGCATAAAAGAAGAGAATAACTAGAGTAAGAACACTTATTCTTCATGTCTAATCCTCATCTGCATAACAGATGACTAAATTCACTCTTAATTAAAAAGTGATATCTGAGTTTACATCTTCATTTTTATATGAAGTATAGTCTTTCATATGCCTTACTGAAGATTGAGAGATTATTTGATCATTGTGCAATCACAAATGTAGTTTTAAACAAAATCACATAAAATTTTTCAGAAATTTACATATGTCGCACAAAATTCTTATGTTTTTACATATCTCACACCTAAACATTTATATTTACATATGTAGCACTTTAGTATATTAAACTATGCATGAAAAAGTGTATTTCACTTTTTAAAAAAGTTGTAATAGCGCTACTTATGATGTCATATTAAAATTTTGAGTGATATATCTGTAAATATGAAAGTTCGGAATGAGAAATATTAAATTGTAAGAATTGTGTGCTACATATGAAAATGCCCAAAAATTTTAATTTTATATTTAACAATTATTTTGTAGCTCATAATATTCACTCCTGAGTTCAAATAACATCTTTCCTAACATTTAGCTCATTTTTTCATTGGTAAAATTATGAATCTTAAGTTAACAAACCCTGGGTAACATAACTTTAAGGATTCTAAGTTTAAAAATGAGTATAATTCATTTTAACTAGAAGCTCATGCCACTCAACATAGATACATAATTAAAAATGTTTTGGAACTAGTTTTACAACTTCAAGAATATTTGTATTATAGCAAAAACGTTCATATATCATGGGCCTCAAAATTCTAAATGTAGACAAGAATTTCTACTTGTTAGGTTTGAAAGGGAAGGCTGATGGATTTCTAAGCCTGTTAGGACCTCTTTACAATTTCATGAAATAGATAAAATGATTAGCTAAATTTGACATGTAGATAATGAGGTATAAGCTTTTTTTCCATCTCCAACATTATGACAGCACAAGTCATAATTAAAACAAAGGCAAAAAACTTAAATCATCCACACTAAATGGCATGATGAAGTTTAAGTAAGGACATAGGTATAATAGCCCGAACTCCCACATATCGAGATATTGTCCACTTTGGCCTAATGGGCTCACGTCTTTATCCCATTGGTTTACTTTCCAAAAGGAAACCCATACCAAGAGTAATCCCACACGAGCATGCTTGACTTTGGTAACACTTTCTTTTGTATAATGAAGTTTAGGTAGGCATAGGTATGATAGTTTGAACTCTCACCGATCATGATATTGTCAACTTTGGCCTAATGGGCTCACGTTTTTGTCCCATTGAGTAATTTCCCATAAAACAACTCATACCAAGAATGCTCCCACACGAGCATGCTTGACTTTAGAGTTTTTGATGAAATTCCAATAATTACACACAAATGTACCTCTAATGTTTATGAGTATGACTTCATTCTCACCACCACTTAAGTAACTGACATCCTCTTCATTTTATTTAACCCAAAATCATCCACAGGGCTAACAAAATTCTACATTTAGTCTCTATAGATTCAAGAGTTGGCTCCCACCATGTATAAATTTATCCCATCTAGGAGACGAGATGGCTCCCATGGTGTGCCACTTTGTTTTCTATGACACTTAATTCTCATCTTCATGCTGATAGTACCATTTGTAACAACTCGAGCTTTCATTCAGGAAGATATTGTTTACTTTGGCCTAATGGCCTCACAATTGTCTCATTGGTGTAAATTTTCCAAGAGGTCACCTATTTCAGGAGTGCTCTTGCAACAATACGCTTAACTTTGGAGCTTATGATGAAATTTCAGCCATTATATCAAAAAAAACCTCAATGTTTAATAGTTTAGCTTTATTCTACTTAAGGGGCTACAAAATATATGTAAACAAGTGCATAACGCTCCACCAATACAAAATTTGAGTTGATGAATTTAATCTTCCTCTTAGATTATAGAGAGCATAACGCAAACCCATGACCTCCAAGCATAATTGTTTTTTTTTTTTTTTTTGGCCACTACGTAAAGAAAAAAAAAAAGGAAGTTATGTGTATGTAATTGAAATTAACAAAGTGTGTTGAAAACTGTCAAATTGAGTTTAATGCTTTATTGTAAAGTAGTGAGATAATTTTCACACCAAAATTGATTGAGAAGCCAAAACATATTGTGTAAGTTCATTTCACATGTTTTGCATGAAATCTTTATAACTCTAAATAACAGCTAATGTCATATACCTAACATCTACAAGAATATTATCTATATCATGCCTAAGTGCAATATAAACAGAGATTGCATGGTGTTTGAGGAAATCATTTGTTCTTCTCCTTTATTTAAACAAAATGTAGCTCCAAGGCACTATCAATGAGTAACAAAGAGATCACGGGTTGATGGTTATTTTTGTCAACACCATTAAAAAAAATTAAGAAGCTAAGAACAATTGATAAAAGATTGAATGTGACAAATGAAAGACAACTCAAAAGGAAATCGGTCTTGTAGATGGCTATCACAATGTCTACTGACAAACAAGATTGGTCTATCGTCGTAGAAGTAATAAGCCTTCCCATCTCTTGATAATAGCAATGAAGGAATCTTGCACAAATTTGGAGTAAAAATGAAAGAGAGCTAAGATTATTAGTGAAATAAAATTAAAGAGCAAATATTTATAATATATTTTTATCTTTGAGATGGTAAACATTTTTCTATGTGACAGAATAAATAAATCTCACTAAATCACATAAAGTCCCTTCCCTTCATTAGTTGGCTATTCATATATAATCACCGCTCTTGAGCACAAGCCTCCCCTAACACTCTCTTCTATATTCATAAAACCATCATAAAAGTTCCTCATGCATGATATATTTTTTATCCATTTCTATTAGTAAACATTTTTCTATGTGATATATTTTTCAATGTTTAATGGTCAATATTCAGTTTCAAAAATCAGATTAGCTAAAGGAAATGCTCACCTGATTTCGAACTGCTCCAATTAGCATGTCTTGACATCCAGAAGCATGAACATTTCTCAAGTTTGGGCACTGAAGCAATAATCTCTCTATAGAGAAAGCAAACATGTTAGGAAACAGCTGTTATCAAGTCTCATCAAATAAGGACATCATCAATTGGTGGTTAAGAAATTAACATTTGCTAATCCCTCTTACCAGGATGCAGATTTGTACAAGAATTGAGATTAAGATCAACAAGTTCTGGGCAGTTGAGATATAGAGCCTGCAAGATCAATATGCAGTCAAAAAATAGAGCAACAGAAGGAAATTCTAAGAGCTTGTATGAGATCAATTTTATTTTATATCTTTGTTTTTTTTTAAATGTGTCTATATAGTGTATTTTTTGTATGTTTTTATTTCTACTTTTAGAAATAAATCAACTAGTTTTTAAAAACACTCAAAATAGTGTTGTTTTGAGAGTTTTAAAATAATCACAGCAATGAAACATATTTTAGTTTAAATAAAAAAAACAAAAGTGATCTCAAAGGACCGAAACAGCCCCTAGGGCTTATTCGGGATTAATTTTATTTTCTTTTTTCCTTTTTTTAAGATATTTGTTAGTGTTTTTTATAATTTTTAATTTATTGTTTCTAAAAACAAATTAGCATGTCTTTGAAAACACTCAGAGCAACATTATGATATTTTGGTATTTTTAAAAATAAACATAATTCAAATAAAAACTAAGCATGTTTAATTTCAAATCATAACACAAATAAATCAAATAAAAAATTTTAAAAATTAAAATTAAAAATAAAAATCAAAAATGATTCCAAACGGCCACTAAGATAAACATGAAATGGGACATACATCTAATCCTGAACAGCCCCATAGACTAAGTTTCTTTAAACGCTCGTGCTTGATTAGTAGCTTTTGATGCATAGAATTTGATTTTTTAGCAAGTAGACTTCGACATCTCCTACTTTCTAAGTCCTTCTCATCAATCTTGATCATGCCATCTTGAGGATCTTGATCGTCGTAACTGGAATCACAGATACTCATGCCACAATCCAATAGTGTAAGAAGTGGCAATTGCGCAGTGGCAAATTGAATTCCGCCTGAAATTGTACAATTAATTAATAACCACAAGGAAAATTGTTTTGCAGCATAATCTTGGTTTAAAGATGATTACTTGAAGTTAAGGTTGGACACACAGCAAGGAGGAGCCTAGACAAAGTTCTAGGCAATGCGTTACATATCATTCCTACACCGTTGTCACTAATGCTTGATCTGAAAAAAGCACAATCAAGAATTAGAATTTACAAATTTACCTAATCAGTTGAACTAACGAGATAAAAATGCTTAATATGAAGCTTGATTATCATCTCAAATTATAATTTTTGGTGTAAGGAAAAATAGAACATACCCACTCAAATCAAGCAATTCAAGATTTGTGTAGCATGCAATTATTGCAGCCACTGATGCGTCTGTGATTCTTGAGCCAAGAATCAAGGACAACATGCGCAAACCCCTGGAATAATCATCAGGCTATAGTTAATCAGCATTAAGAATAAAATTAAGGGAAATTTACAATCGTAGCACACAATTCTTATTTATTTACTTAAATCACACCTAAACTTTCATATTGATATACATTGCACTTTGGTGCTTTAAACCAAAGCATGAAAAGTGTATTTCACTGTTAAAAAATAGTAATATTGTTATTTTCTATGCTATATTAAGGAAATGAGCGCTAAGTGTCTAAATATGAAGCTTGGGTGTGAGATATGTAAATACATAAGAATTGTGCGCCATGCATGTAAATGCCCCTAAAATTATAAGTAATTTGGGATGCTTTCTTAAGATGCATTTCTTCACTTTGTGATTAGAAAATGTTGCCACTACCATGTTAGTTTCATAAATATTCATCACAAACGTTTATGATGTTTAAACATTGATTACATTGAAGGGAAATTTACATAAATACCACACAATTATAAAGGATTTACATATCTAACACCCAAATTTTGATATACGCTTATAACATCTTGGTATCATGAACTCATGCATGAAAGAACTCCCGTATAAAATGATTAGAAGAACAAGCTAATCTGAAGCTGAATGAACAGCATACCTAATATTCGCATCCGACAAAGCACGAACAGAATCATTACAAAGTAATGCTGATGCAATATGAATTTTTCTTAAACTTTGACAACCACGCCCGAGCGAATCCATCATGTTAACGAGATCGGTGGAATCATTTGCTTTAGGAATAAAATCTAAAGAAAGCTCTTTCAGATTTGGACAGTGCAGAACCTATGTAGAAAAATATATTTAGCTCAAGTAAGGGCAAATCATAACTATCATAACTAAAATATATATAGAGAAAGAGAGAGAGCGCGATAACAGATACCACTCTAGATACGCAATAAAGGTCTGAAAGCCATAGTGTTGACAAACTGGAAGAACTGATGTTCAAAAAGCCGAGGTTGGTGCATCCTGCAACTTTAAGAACCGAAAGATTCCGCCTTTCGGCAACAAAACGGCCCAGCTCATCTCTGTTTCAAGAATGCCATCAAAAAGAAGAGTAAACAAGGGAAAAACCTACTATTGCATTCAAAAAAATAATTAAGATTTACATACATATCACTCAATGCCCATATATTTACATATCTAACAGCTAAACTTCAATTTTACATATATGTAACATTGCTACACATAAAAAGAGGCATTTCACTTTTAAAAGTTAAAATAATTGTACTTCTGATGTGATATGAAATATTTGGATGGTACAAAGGTAAAATACAAAGTTTAGGTGTTAGATATGTAACTACATAAGAATTGGGTGGTGTGTATATAAAAGCCCCAAAAAATGATAATAATTGACCTTGGAGGAGCAAATAAGGAAACATTTGGGTTACACTATTCTCTATAAATGACTAATATATATATATATATATAATTGCTATATTTCAAGCTAGTGTCTTTTCACAAATCAAGAGGCATATCATTATCAGCAGTGAGACAATGCATCATTGAAAAAAGTATCAGGAGTCTAATGAAATATATAATATATGCAACTTATCATTATAGCAAAAACAAAATACATGCATTTTGCCTCTCTTTTCGGACTTTATAAGGCCGGTGCTATGCTTCCCGCATAAGATAGCACAAATAGTAGATTTCAGTCCTAAAGATCCTGCAAATTTATCTGTATAGCCCCTAACAACATGTAAAGAAAATTTTGACAGAATCGTACGGCATCAGAGTCATTCCACAGTCAATAGGCCTTTTGCAACTGGACTATGTGATGAAAAAAATAAATAAATAAAATAAAAACTGAAAATTCGTAACAAAGCTTACTGATGCAGGATTAATGAAAATCATCAGTATCGACGGCTACAAGTTGTTGCAGATAGTAATGTAACATATAACTCAATAGAAATTTACATACATGCCACATAATTCTTACGTATTTACTTGTCTAACACCCAAAATTTGATATTAACACTTACAACATTTTGGAGTCTGAAACCTATGCTTGACAAGGAGTATTTCACTTTTAAAAAGTTAGCAATTGTGATATTTTAGATGTGCTGTCGAAGTTGTGAGTGTTTTGCGTGTAGATATTAAGGTAAAGGTGTTAGATATGTAAATATATAAGAAATTTTTGGTTAATATGTAAATGGCCCAAAACTCAAATAAGAATGATAATATAACAGTGAAGTAAAATGACTTGCAGGTAATAGGGAAAAAAAAAGTATTCGTGCAATACCCAGTTATTCGGTTGACAGCGTTTTTTGCAAGACTGATTTCAAGATATTCCAAGTTGGGACATGAGAATGCAACACAAGCTAGCACTGTTGAATCAGCATCACTGCATCAAAAAACGTGGACATTTATCATTCACACTTTCAGACCATGACAATAAAGTTAACGCAATTTGAACTTCACGAACAACTGAGAGCCATTTGGTTGATTGTAAATGTATTATTTTGTTTTGAAAGTGATGATTTATGAAGATTTGCATACATTCCACTCAATTATTATGTGCTTACATATCTAACAACTAAACTTGATTTTCTACATGCATACGACCATATCTATGCATGAAAGAACGTATTTCACTTTGAAAGAGTAAAAATGGTGTATTTTTATGTGATATGAAATATTTGGGTTTTATAAATATAAGTTTAGGTGTTAGATGTGTAAATAAATAGGAATTGGGTGATATATATGTAAATGCCATATTTTACTGTGACAACAAAAGAGAACGATTGAGGTTCTTGTGGAGTTTTAAGAACCCATAATGATTTTAAAGTATAACTAACCAATTAATCGAATTTAGCAGCTGCTATCAGTTTTTTAACCATGAATCTCATTTACCAAGAACAAAAGTAGATCTTTAGAAGGATCTACCGAGCAGCGCCCCAAATCCTACCCTTAATGAAGCTCGTTAGATTTATATGCACCTTAAGACCTGATCCAGCATAGGGACAATGGACAAAACAATAATAAATCAGATCTGCTGATTGAACTATTAAGAAAAAAGAATCTAAGGATATCTTATGTAAATAGAAAATAGAAATGAAAATTTAGGAGGAAAAATATCTGAAGATAGGGAGATCACAGAAAACCATGAGATTTAATTATGTAGTGGTACTTTCATACTTACCATCACTATAATACAAGTCAGCAAGGGTGGATTTTGTTAAAGAACGGCTATATTAAATCAACTAGGTCAAAATCATTTTGAACTGCGTTACTTGAAGGCCAATTCTTATGACAAGTGAATAAATTTTGCAGCAAGGACGATTGAAAGAAAGATCTGGAAATTTTTAACGATCTAATCCTAGTTGTTGATCTAGCAAAATAAACCAAGGAAGACACGAGAGCGAAATGCACTGAATATAACTTCGACAGATTAGCAATCATTTTCCTGCCTGCTTCCAATGTTTTCATCATATATGATTTTAATAAATCCCAGATCTCCAATTGATAAAATTCACAGCAGCAAATTTATCCCAGCTTGCTTCTATTGAGTTCCTTTTCAAATTTATTCTTTAGGTTATGTTCCATCTTCCTTCATTAGATCGGTCACAATTTAAATTAGATCCCTGTTTTTCATATTTTTTTATCCATAATTTTGCATGACCCCAACCACTTAGCCAACCAAGTTCGACTCCAAACCTTTCCATAATCAACGAGAGCCGAGCGAGGTTAACGCACTTGTGCAGCACCGATCCCACAAATCTGACCTGCGAAACTCTAACCCTGATCTCCTCAGCTGTGATCCACACCCTCCTCACGCACTCCCTCCACCCCCGGCACACCAGCGCCGATCCCATCAGCTCCTTCGGAGACAGCCGTCGAAAAACCCTCGCCAGGCACGATTCCGGCAGAGCAAAACCTCCGCCAACATCCACCATCTCCTCCTCATCATCCTCAGCCGCAAACGCCATCCCCGCCGCCTCCGGCTGCGGGGTGGTCACAGCTGCAATCTCCTCGTCAAAGGACAGCGCGCGACGAAGGCGATGATCGGATCGCGGGGGAAGAGCTGGTGGGGGCGAGGAGGGGCACACATGACCCTTCTTTGGTAGGCCGCATCGGCCGCAGTTGTAGTTGCCGCGCTTCTTTGCCGGGCCTCGCCGCGTAGGTTGTGCGCCACCTGACACGTCGGCTTCTGACGAGTGCATCGTCGGAGTTAGGGTTAGGGTTAGGGGAAAGAGGAGATGGGAAAGAGGAGGGAGATATAGTAGAAGCTGGTGTAGAGAAGAGAAGACTAGTAGCGGGAGATTAGAGTTACTTTCGCGCCATTTTTTTTCCCGGACAAACGGGGAAGCAAATTTACAATATTGCCACTGCCTTAATGGGCCCGAATGTTGGCCCCACGTAGCGAAGGGTGTGTTTTTCTGCTTGGACCGTCCAATAGAAGAGAGGTGATGGATTAGGTGGCAGCCGTTTATTGGGTGAGGGACGAGAAGATTCTAAATTTATTTTTTTAAAATATTTTAAAATTATTAATTGCTTGGGGCAAACTTATTTTAGTAAATATTTTTTTTACGCAGCGAATTTTATGTTTATGGAAAGAAATTTATTGAGGAGTAAAGCGGAATTTTTTTAATAATTTATAGTTAAGAGTAAATTTTGGAGAGTGATGTGAAATTTTTAATTATATTAATTTTTAAAATATTAAAATATAATGATTTATGTGAAATTTTATGTATGGAAATAATATATATGAAGTTCAATATGAATCCAAAAAAGCATATTCATTTTAATGTGGTGTGGCGTGATAAATATTATGTATGTAAACCCAAATTCTACTGACTTTAATTCCTCTCGAGAAATTTCATGAGAACTCACTTGCTAGAAAGCTAGAGATATGTGGGGTTTGCGTGGTGTTGGTCCATCATCGTCTAAAATGGGTATTCGCATCAAATGTCGTAAAGCAGAGCTAATTTTTACCATTAATTTTGATCTCTCACCTTGAGTGAGTGAGATGCAAATAATTCTCTATCAAAGTGGGCTTATGTGATTAGGGTTTATTTAGATACCAAAATTATAGTGTAGATATGGCTCTCATGGCAAGTGGAGTTTTTTGAGAGGGTCAAGTGATTGGAATAAATTGTGGAGAATTCATTTTAACTCGGAGAATAAAATTTGAATGAACGGGAAGGGGAAGGTTTGCATCACCTTGCTTCGCCCTTCAACCAATCAAATCGTGCAATGGTTTATGACTATATCGTTGTTAGGAAAATATATTAAATATGGATGAGCTACCTCCGAATAATGTGCGGATGGTACTGTTTTATGTGTTATTTGTAGTATTGTGGAAACATTTTGGTAAAATAATACCACAATACTACCAATAACACATAAAATAATATCATTCGCACATTAAGCTGCATCAGGACTCCTGATTTAATATTTTCTCCATTGTTAGGGTCAAAGTAGGAATACTTGACAATAGAACTTTATCTTATGGTATTTAAATCATGTTGGTTGACATGATTGCCAAAATCATGATTTAAATTAATACATCCAAGGTTAAATGAATGATTTGTAATTCAACACTACTATAGAGATCAATTAAGGCTCTTAGGTGGCATATAAAGACAAATGCACGAGTCATTTTGACCAATTGAATGAGTTTGAGCTTTTGTTGTATAAACAACATATATGGGTTTAAATAAATTAAGTTCACCTATTTGACCTAAATTAGCCAAACCCATTGATCACTTGGGTTCATAAGGGTGAGTATAGGTGGACAACCCGAGATAACTTTATGCATGATAGGTTAAAAAAAAAATGTAAATGTTAAAATCAATTTGGTATGGGTAAAATTATTTGGATTCAACGCTGCCAAATATAATCAATTATTTTTAATTAGAACAATATGTGAAGCCTTGGGTACGTCGATTGTGAGCGAGCTACGTACAGACCACGAACGTGATATAAGGTGAGGTGTTTTTTTTCGGTGGTATATCGCGTCTTTCGTCTTTACGTGGCTCGTATACGGACGACGTGCGTAAAAATTTCCCTCAAATGGGAGAGGCCCTCCCTTTCTAGCACGAGACTGTTCAAATATCTAAAAAAAAAAACATTCATGACCAGTTTATTATGGAGTAACAATGTCGTAATAACAAGATAGAGGATTGTGCTCTTCATTACGAAGGCAACAAGAAGTCCAACAAATACAGATTACTAAAAGAATTTATTAATTACAAAACATAAGGAAAATAGAAGAGACATGACAGCTGAACGAAAAAACTTTCTCCAATAAGATATAAAGACTTTTCCCATTCACATAAATTAGTTTACTACATAAGCAGTTCAGAAAGACAACTGTGCATACAATTGTACTGTCAACAAGTAATCAAAAAAATACAATTTACTCTTCCTAGTATCATAAATATTGATGATCACTAAATGAAGGCGACACCAAAAGCAAAATCTCGACCACCGGCCAAATAATTATATAAGTTTCCTAGCGATAAACGCTACTTAATAAATGTTATTCCAGCAGTTGCAACCTCTTGCTCTTCATGAATATGGGCAATCTCTCTTTCAAAATCCATCATTTCTTCTTGGAGTTTTAGATCATTAAACAAGCCTTTGATCTCCATGTTGTGAAAAACGACGGCAATAAGGCGAAAAATTGGATCGAGAGAAATTTGTAAACAGAAAAGCACAGTGAAACACACAGATTTACGTGGTTCGGCAAATTGCCTACGTCCGCGGAGTTGCACAAGATTTTATTAGCTTAAGAAATTATACTGTGGCCTCGACGTTTACAATAAAGACTCTTTCTCTCTCTCTCTCTCTCTCTCTCCTCTCCTCTCTCTCTTCTCTCTCATCTCATTCTCGCTCTCTCCCTACCTGAGAGCCAACATCAACAAGAGGAAACGCCGCAGAGAAACAAAATCTCGAGAGAGATAATAACGGGAGCTAGCATGTCTATTTATTATTAGGCTCGTTAAGTAATTAATCAAATAATTCATGGAGCTCAATAATTACTTTCTTTTCTCTTATGCAACAAATCATAAAAGAAATTAAGAGCAATTAATTTAGCAAATAATTTTAAGTATCAAATCCAATTTGCTGCAAAACATGAGAAAATGTCAATTTGAACTGTGGACCGGTTTTCATATTCGCATCAAATTTCCCACTTAGTGACTATTACACTGGCTGCATCATTCACTAGTTATGTTGCCCTTTGATTCAAATGTGTTATCCTTCAGCTCTACAACTCAAAATTCTAGTATCCACGTCATAAGACAAATTGAAGTCTAGCATAACTTCAGTTTCTCAAGAGTTGCACATTTAGTTGACATATCATCGTCAACATAACTCTGTACCTTCTAGCTCTTTCTTGGGTTAATCATGTTTGTACTTACAACTCCCACTGCATGGGCAATATCTTGCCTCTGTTGAAAGTCATTTTCAATAAGTCTAGTATTGTACCTCTTACTGCATTCAAACGTATTTTCACCCAGCACACACACTTGTTGTGAAATGTCTTATTCTCTAATGGAAGTTCTGTCAGCTCATAAGTCAAATTCCCCAGCAGGGAATCCATCTTTTCTAGTCGCTTTCATAGTAACAAAAGATGAAGTTTCTTCTTATATAGGTAGTCATCTATCTGTATCATATAATAACTAAAATCTGTGTCATTAAACTTTTTGATCTCTAATGTCATCACATCATCTCTAGTCATCGCTTTTCCTCATATTTGATCCTGAGCTCTGATACCAACTGTTGTGAAAAATAACGACAATAAGGGAAAAAACTGGATCGAGAAAATTTGGCAAACATAAAAGCACATCGGAACACATAGATTTACGTGGTTCGGCAAATTGCCTACGTCAACGGAGTTGCAGAGAATTTTATTAGCTTGAGGAATTACATCGTCGAATGCCTAAATGTTTACAATAAAGTCTCTCTCGCTATCTCTTCCTCTTTCTCTCCTCTCCCCTCTCTCTTCTCTCTTCTCTCCTTCTCACTCTCTATCTCTACTCGAGAGCCACCATCAAGATGAAGAAACATCGGAGATAAACAAAATCCCGAGAGAGATAACATGCCTATTTATTAATTTGATCATGTCATTAGGCTCATTAAAAAATTAATCAAATAATTAATGAACCACCCATTAATTATTTTTTTATCTCTTCTGCAGCAAATCATAAAATGAATTGATTGCAATTAATTTTGAGGATAAAAAACAAGTTGTTGCCAAACATGAGAAAATATCAATTCGAACAGTGAACTAGTTTTCATTTTCATAACACTCCAGTTTAACAATACAACTTCGAGCCTCCGCCAATTCACCTTCTAGCTCGACAAAACGATTAATTGATGTTATTTTTCCCCAAAGAAAAATGAAGATTGATTATGTGATTGAAGCCTCATAAAGCCCCACCTCCCCTGCTTTAAAATCAGATTGGAGACCTCCCCCATAACCGGGTAAATCACTTAGCCATCTTGGACATACTAACAATGGAATTTACCCATTCCAGATGAAGACCTGATCTCTGTCTTATGTGTCCCTAAATGTCTCGTATCATGTCCCATTAATTCCTATGAAAGCAACAAATTATCATATTCACCGACGGGATGAGCTCCAGACTGGGGAGACTTGGCCATGTTACCTTCAAAAGACGAAATAACGTCATTTCTGTCGGGAAAGATATCTTCAGCAGCGTGTTACGCGAGAGATATATGTCTCGTATGCATTGAATTATCCTGCACTCTAGAAAGATGAGTCTTCGCCAGATCATTCAAATCCATGAGTGTTTTTTTAGGAATTTTTACTTCTTCTTACATTATGGACTTTTTCTAAAGCTCATTTTCCAATGTCAAGAGAGATTCTTCTTCTGGCATCGAGGGAGCCTCCCCCTCTCCACAACAAAGAATATGCTGCGCACGGGCCATCGAAACCCTCATCTTCTCAAGGATAAATCAACTGTCTCTCAAAAGTAAAGAAAGTACATGTGAATACACAAACATCCACCTTCACTTATTTGCTACCTTATAGAAACCTCAGAATGTAGTGTAATTATTTAGGTTTGAATAAATATCATAATTAATATCACCTTTAAGTTCCATACTTATTTTTTTAAAACAGTCCAAATAATGTTAAAAGAAAAATATTCGGTCATGGAACATTCTAAAGCTACTCACTCAAAAGACTCTTAGCAGGCCTCAACAGGCAAGATAGATGAAACAAAAGAGACCCTTTCAACGAGAGAGCCAAGGCACACAAGGAATTAGCGTACTCCAATCATCGACATACATAAGTTCAAAGATTGTTCCTCGCTGAAGAAACATGTAATGCCCCCGGGCGAAGGCCAGACCTATAATGTTACTGATAGTTGTGTAGCACAAGCCAATGAGCATAAAGGAACAAGAGGAGTCATTCTAGCGTCAATCCTCATCCTCATCTTGAAGGATTTGAAAAGACAAAGGTAATATTTATTCTCTTATTCTTATCAAGAGGACTCGATCGAAGAGACAGAGAATTGAGAAACTAAATATATACACAAATACGTTTATACAATAATTTTTGTAAAAAATTCTCTCTATTAATCGAGCTTAGCTGCCGAAGCGGCAAAATCGAGTCTACTTGCCAATGCAGCAAAATCAAATCCACTTGCCGAAGTGTTTGAATCAAGCCACATGCCAAAATGGTTGAATTGGGCCCACTCTTCGAAGAGTCTGAATCGAGTCAACTTGTCAATGTGGTTGAATTAAGCCCAAATGCTAAAGTATTTGAATCAAACTCACTCATCGAAGTAGCTGATATGATTGTTCTCACCATACCCGAGAGAATAACCCAGCATACATATACAAGTGTAGCAATTCGAGCAAGACATCATGACCAATAATAACACCCTTCAATCACTTATTAAAGACGCCGCCCAACATCGATGACTCAATCCATTCACCTGGATACCGAAAATCGTTGCCTTACTAGCAACATTTGATATCAACTAGCCAGCAATACGCAACATCGATATCATAATCTTTCCATTATGATACTTCATGAAAGCATCTTGTAAATATAAATATGTGCCACGTCAATTATTTCAAGGTTTTATTTTCTCTCGTATAAAAAAAAATGTAAGAAAAAAAAAAGAGAAATTTGAGCCTCTCCCAAAATATACTCTCTCTTTTTGTCCCTCTCTCTCTCTCTCTCTCTTAAACCTTATAACTCAATTAACCTCCAAATAACAGTCTCCTTTCGACTTATCGAAGATCGAAAATTCATTCATTTCTTAAAATCCCTTCAAAAAAATCTTGTCCATTCCCTTCTCTTTCTCCCTGACGTTCTCTCTATAAGTACCGCGCTATAAGTGCTCATGAAAAGAGACATGTCTCTACTTCCTATCAAAATGATTCAACACCGTGTATTTAGATCTTTATGTAATACCAAGACAATAAAAAAAAAAAAAAAATCAGTCTAATATTATAAAATTTTTTGCACTTGATAATAACTTAAATCTTATAAAAAAAAATCAGACTTTAGCCATTATTTGTTGCTTTAAATAACATGTCATCATCCAAATATCTTAATAAATTTACCCAAAAAAACACACACAAAATATTTTTATACAGCAATAATTTTTTTATATTTTTAAAATATAGTTTATCCTCCTTATAATTTAATATAAATATCATATTCTTTTTATTAAATCATCAGCTCTTCTCATAATCTCCCGCAGAATAAAACAAGCCTTTTTTTTCTTCATTGGAATTTATATACCGAGAGAGAGAGAGGGAGAGAAAGAGACCTTAAACTGAGCAAACCATAACCAAAATTACATTAAAACAATATAAGATCAAACATTATACCACAAAACTTATGAGAAAATATTATAAACCCCAAGTTCTCAAAATAAATACACCAGCATGACCAACAATGTATTTCACAGTGACAATCCAGACTCTTCGTCCTCTTCCAATGTGCTTGTATAAGCAAAGTAGAGAGCCCATATGAGCCCAAACACACCCAGCAATATCCAACCAAGCAAGTTATTGCTCAAACCCAAACTCAACCCCGTCCCCTCGGTCGTCAACCTCTCGTCCACCAGCGCAAGCGACGGCCCCGTCGCTCCGATCATGCCAGTCGCCAACACTGTCGCTGTCGCCGCCGTTGTCGACGCCTTAGCTTTCTTATTCATCTCTTTCGTATCGATCGAGCATCGAATATTTCCTCGAACTCGAATTTGTGGCAACCCTGAAAACGTGTGTGAATTTAAGGTTTGCGACATATGCTGCACAATTTTTACATATCTAGCATCAAAACTTCGATTTTTACAAACTTTTGGCATTCAATATGCACGAAAAAGATACATTTCACTTGTTAGAAGTTAAAATAATGATATTTCTGATATGATATGAAAGATTTTGATGTTATAAATATAAAAATTATGAAATAAGATACTGAAAGTTTGAGCTTACCCACGACAGGAGAAGGGAAAACTATGACCTTGCGGTGGTGGCTGACAGGACGAGTGATGATTGGGGCGGCGACGGCTGTGCTGACGGCGGCCATCTCTTGTAGATTTGGATGGAGAGAAGTGGAAAGTGTGAGTGATTGTGTTGTTTGTTGAGGAGGAGGAGAGATGAGGCCAGTTTATTTGGTAGGGAAGTGGCAGAAGAGAGCTTGTGGTTACTAATTGTCTTCAGTGGATTGGGAGAAGAGAATCCTATCCTTTAACAGCCAATCAATGCATCACACGTGTGATGTATCATGCCTGTAGATGAGGGCTATTTTGTAGAATATTTTTGTATGAATTTATGAAATAGAATGCTTTTGTTATAATTTATAAATGGACGATTTACATTCATACCACTTAATTCCTCATATTTACTACATATCTATACATCTAAATTAATTTTTTTACATATATGTCATCTTATCTATCATGAAAATGTAGATTTAATTTTTTTTTAATTAAAATTAGTGATATTTTCTTTTGTGACATGAATGAATTGAGTGGAAAAAATATAAAAATTAAAGTTGAAGTGTTAAGGCACTTAAATACATGAATTGTGTCATTGTGTGGTATGCATACAAGCCACCCAAAACTTGCTATTTACAAACTAGTCCCACTCTTTCGTCCATTTTTCAAATTCTCACTCAAATATCAAAATTCACGGTAAAGCCGGCCCATATTCTTCAGTTTTATCAAATTATCAATGATCTGATTGTGCGTGTGTAAATATAACGGTTCATTAGTTCAACAAATCACACGGATGCTTAATTTGTAAATATCAATTTTTTTATGGTCTCTATGTAATTATCCTTTTTTCTTAACATGTGATTAAAGTTTTATTCAGTTAAAAACATATTTGATGAATTTAATCGACCTAATAAAATCTTGTTAATTTATAAATAAATAATTTAAAAACTATGTTAAATAATTAATTGATAATTATATCACAAACTACCCTCGATCTTTCCTATTAACTAGCTAATTGGCATATGCAAATTTTAGTTGATTAGTGTGCATTTGAATATATTAACTTATTTAAGTTTTATTGACAATTAATACATATAAATAATATATTAATGCCTAAACAAGTTTATTTGCTTAAATAAGTTAATATATTTAAATGCTATTTTACTCGAGAAATATTTAGGTACGGAAGACGCACGCAAAATCGAGTGCGTAAAGTAGGTTATTCAAAGGGTACTAGGGGTTATATCTGTGTTATTGGGGGTATAACCTCAATATAACCTCATAATAACCTCCAATTAACCTATAAATATATATAGTAACCCACAAATATATGAAAACAAAAATGCAAAACATATTTGTAGGTTATTGGGGGGTTATAGTGAGGTTATAAGCCCCAATAACACAGATATATACCTTCCAATACCTTTTGAGTAAACTTCTTTCACACTCAATTTTGTGGGCGTCTTTCGTTCCTAAATATGTCTCTAATAATTGTGAACACTCCACCATCATAGTAGATTTTGATAAGATTCCTTGAAATAAAATACTTCGATTAAAAGTAGAAAAAAATTATTAAAATGTCATGCTTGAAAATTTTGATTTAAAACCATATTCCAAATATTTAATAATAAGATATCCGGATTGATAATGTTGTATATTTAATTAATAAAAAAATTATTATAGCAATATTATCATATCTTTTAAATTATGCTTCAATATTTTTAATATTTATCATATCATCGGGTTCTACTTTATGTTCTTTATTATTTGATATTAATTGGTTTTTTAGTTGCAAAATACAAAATATTTTATTTATTTACAATCGGTGTGAGATATATGTATGGAGCAATCATGATTGAGTTATTCATTTTAAGGCAAATTTTAATTATTATTTATTTTTTAAATAATATTTTGAACAAATTTTTAAATTTTTTTTGTTATTAATATTTGATAAATCAATGAAAAATTGGCTAATCGGACATGATGAAATACATGCAAACTTTCAAAATTAAAGTTTAGTCCAAATCAAATGAGTCTAAATCAAACATTTCAAATATAATTGAATACTTTAAAGCTGTAATTGGGGGATCAAATGCCTTCCAAATTTAGCATATTTATAATCAAATTAAGCGGCCCGATGAGAGAAAACCAACGAGGTTAAAATCAATCAATTATGAAGTCATTGAGTCAAATAAATGACCAATTAATAGTCCTTGATTAAACAAAGTCGACACAAACTATTCGATGAAGTATGTTGAAGTTGAGTTTTGGAGCCTGGTCTGACCATTCCCGCCCCGCTCCTTTCCCGTTTCACTCGCTCCCGCCTCCCTTTTGCGAAAAGTCTCGATTTCCTCCATCTCCCGATCGTGAAAGGTTGCGACTGCGACCCTGCCATTTTGCGAAACCACCCCCGCCTCACTGTTTCGTGAAACGTTGCCTCTCCCACCTCTTCTCTCGCGATAAAGGTATCACATGACTCCCCTTCCGTTTTAGAAGTCACGGCCTTTTTGTTCTTCTTCGGACTTTTTACGGAAAAGTGGAAGGACTTCCACTAGAGACAATAGAAGAGAAGTGCAATAAGTAGTTCCTTGCGATAGAAGGAAAAATAAAGAACAAGATTATCTCCCTTGACTTCTTCTTGATGACTTGTGACATAAGAAAAATTGAGTTTATTTCTCTTATAAGTTTATCTTCTTTAGTGTATCTCAGTGTAGAGCTTCTTCGGCATATCTCAGTGTAGAGAGTGTAGAGAGAGAAGAACAGAGAGCAACAAAGTGAGAGAAATAGTTCGCTCTTGTAAGTCAAGACGATCAATTGGTGTAAATTTCTCAAGTAGTAAAATCTTCTGCAACTCCGTGGACGAAGGCAATTTGTCGAACCACGTAAATTTGTGTGTTCCGCTGCGTTATTGTTTTTATGGTGTGAATTTCTAGTTTTATTTTTCGTTTCGTTATATATATATATATATATCATAATAACTGTTATATATCTTACAACAACTGATATCAGAGCTTTGTTTGAATCTGAAAAAGAATGATGACTGTAAATGAAGTGAAGGTTTCAGGGATTAAGAAATTTGATGGTTGAAATTTTGGTTATTGAAGAATGTAGATAGAGGACTACCTCTATGGAAAGAAACTTAATCTTCCATTATTGGGAAAAGACCTGAAAGGATGAATGAAACTGAATGGAATCTGTTGGATCGACGAGTTCTGGGGGTTAACCCTATCGAGGTCTGTTGTACACTACATCGTCAATGAGAGGATTACTGCAGATCTCATGACAGTCTTATTATGTGTGTATGAAAAACCATCAGTGAATAACAATGTGCACTTCATGAAAAATTTATTCAATTTGAAGATTACGGAAGACGTGTCTGTTGCTCAACAACTGAATTATTTCAATACTATCACAAATCAATTGTCGTCTGTTAAAATTGATTTTGATGATGAGATATGTGCACTGATATTGTTAGCATCATTGCTAAATAGTTGGAAATTCATGACGATGACAGTTAACAATTTTGCAGGTAAATCTAAAAAAAAATGTGATGATATTCGTGATTTAATTTTGGCTAAGGAGGTGCACATGAAAGATTCTGGCGAGATCTCATGTACGAGTTTAACACTGAATATTGATTTCAGAGAGAGATGACATGACATGAACTCAAATAAAGGGAGATCAAAATAAAAGTCTGGTCAGCAAACAATTTGTTGAAATTGTGTAAGGCTGGCCGCATAAAGAGGAACTGCAGAAATCCCAATAATATGAAGAATGATAGTGCAAATGTGGTAATTGAAGAAGTACATGATGCACTATTGCTGACAGTTTATAGTTTTGTTGATGATGGAAGTGAATAGGAGAGTGGGTCCGGGGCACCATTCTTTTTGTTCGGCAGACATATGGTAGAGAACCACAAAACTATGAAGAAATCTTGCAAGATGAAAGTTCAAGCAAGTGGGGGCTGACAGAACTTCCATCAGGGAAGAAGACATTACACAACAATTGGGTGCACCGGGTGAAGACTGAGCTTGATGACAGTAAGAGATACAAGGCTAGAATTTTTTGAAAAAGACTTTCAACAGAGGTAAGATATTTTGCTCATACAGCGAGAGTTGCAAGCAGAAATAAAAGTAATATAAGAAATAGTTTAGAGGTGCAAAGCTATGTTGACCCTGCTGCTATGTTGACTGAAGGTGTTACTCTTGAGAAACTGAAGTTGTGCACGACTTCAGCTGATCTTTTGGTGTGAAGACAGAAGCTCTAAGTTGCAGAGGTGGATGATACATGTTTGAAGGAAAAGGATGATGCCGCCAGTGGAGGATATCAGTTTGATAAAGAAGTTGTTGTAATCTGTGTACTGGTCTTCAAGTGGGAGATTTGTTGAGTTTTGAAGCCCGATCTGACCGTTCTTGCCCCGCTTCTTTCCCGTTTCACTCGCTCTCGCCTCCCTTTCGCAAAAAGTCGCAAACTGCCCCTGTCTCATGATCACGAAAGGTTCGATCGCGACCCTGCTATTTCGCGAAATCACTCCCGTCTCTCTGTGTTCGTGAAACGTTGCCTCTCCCTCCTCCCCTCTCTCGATAAAAGATATCGCACAACTCTCCTTTAGTTTTAGAAGTCATGGCCTTTTTGTTCTTCTTTGGTCTTTCACGGGAAAGTGGAAGGACTTCCACGGTAGAGACTGCAAGAGAAGTGCGGAAAGTAATTCCCTGTGGCATAAGGATGAAGAAATAAGAAGAAGAAGATTATTCTCCCTTGACTTCTTCTTGGTAGCTTGTGGCAGAAGAGAAAATTGATTTATTTATTTTGTAAGTTTATCTTCTACGGTGTATATCGGTGTAGTGCTTCTTCGATGCAGAGAGAGAAGAATAGAGAGAGAATATGAGAGAGCAACAAAGTGAGAGAAATAGTTCGCTCTTGTAAGTCGAGACGATTGACTGGTGTAAATTTTTCAAGTAGTAAAATTATCTGCAACTTCGTGGACTTAGGCAATTTGCCGAACCACGTAAATCTGTATGTTCCGCTGCGTTACTGTTTTTCTGGTGTGAATTATCTCATTCTATCTTTTGCTATGTCGTTGATCGTTCTCCTTTTATATATATATATATATATATATATTCTCCTCTTATATATATATATATATATATATATATATATATATATATATATACGACAACAACTGATATATATCTCACAACATGCTGATACATCGATTAACTTTGACATGATTTAGCTCTCTACCCAGTACCCACTATAAATTTGATCTCGTTCTCAGCATGACAGAGGGTGGAAGAAGCGTCGAGAGCTTAATATGAACTCGTGATGAGAGCTGGGAGCCAATGACTTCGAGCAATTACGACCGGCCATGCTATTATCACATGGCGAAGTTATTATTGACAAAATAGTAATTTATTTGTCATTTACAAATATATTTTTTTTTATAGTCCATCATCCACCACTTTAATTCATAACTATCATTTAAAATATATTTTATTTATTTTTGAACTATTTGAGTTAAATAATATAATTATGAAATATGGACATTATATTTCAACAATTGAAAAAAAAAAATATTTTTAATTTAAATAAATACAGATGCCTAAATATTTCTAAATTACCATTCTTTTTCATGTCCACGTCGCGAATAATATGGGGGTCCGATCACTGAAATGCGGTGTTAAACCAGACTACCGGAGCGAACCGGTCTAACAAACCCGAACCAAACGAACCGCCGGAGTGCATTTGCGCCATCCAATGCTCCGTACGAGAAAACCAATTCACCGGCTCCGCACGCTATTTAAAGCACGATCCCCAAAACTCTCTGGGAAACCCATTCCGCCTCCGATCGGCTCGCCGGTGAAGCCTTTACCTCGCCCAATCCATACATCCAATCTGATATTCGGCTCTGAATCCCATTTATCTAATGTGAATGCCGGTGCAGAGGCTCGCATGCAGGGGAGTTATGTGGTATTTTGTTTTGTAGGACGCTCTGAGGTTGATCGGTGGGGTTAAGTGTCGTCGGAGGTGCGTCGATGTCTAGCGCAAAAGCGATGGTTGAGCCGCAGGTGGTTAGAGTGAAAAGGAAGGTGTTATCAGCTTGCATGACATGTCCCCTGTGCCATAAGCTTCTTAGGGACGCTACTGCCATCTCGACATGCCTGCATACGTGTGAGTCGATCTCTTATTTGGATCCCAAATCTCGGCTTTAATTGATCCTCCTGACGATATGAATGTGGTTCTACGTGTTGTTGATCGATGGATTGATCCTGATTCTTGGTTTTCTGTGCTCATTTTATGAGTTTCTTTGTATTCAATTGATTGGATATGGGGACTACGTATTTTCTTGTGTTTGGGAGTGGCGATCGGATGCAAAGAGGACCTCTGGTGCTGCTGGCGATGTGCTTTCGTGCTGTTTAGTTTTCGCTTGTGCTTGCATGCGCTCTTGCTGCGAAGTACGTGGGGAATTATTATTATTATTATTTTTATGCTGCTATGCGGAGAGAGACGTCTCTTTATTGTCTCTCAGAGTATTCTTGCTGTTTATCGTATTTTTCTTCTTTGATCTTGTAGAGAGGAAACCGAGAATGTTGGTTCAGATTTATTCGGGTTTCTGACTGCTTATTTAAACTAATAATTTTATGTAAATGAAGTGATGTAGGTGATCTAGTGCCGGCATCTGTGCCAATCATTTATTTGGCCTCTTCTGTCATTATATTCGTTCTTTTGAGCCGGCATGCATGATAATGCACAAGTTGTTATTGTAAAGGTTCTTTGAATTCCATGGGTCATTGAAGAGCTTGTGATGACGACTTGAATTGCCAGCTTATAAAGATTCCTGCGATTTAGTTTGGAGAAAAGTTTTTTTTTGGAGTCCCAGCTTTTTGGCTGACGAATTGAGTTTAATCACATTTTATTATGTATAATGTTAGGTTATCATATTTTTGGTGCAGTTTTTTGGCAGATACTTTTGTTTCAGTTTCATTTAGTTTTATATCAACGTGCCAGTAGTTGATGGTATTGCTTATTCCATCTGTTCATTATGCTTGATTTGAATTAGGTTTTAAGGATTATTATTATTATTATATTATTATGGTTATATTAATTAAATGTTAAGTTTGTTAATTATATTCGTTATCACATAAACGTCTTTGAATTAGTTTGCAGGAAATGCATTGTAGATTACTTCTCTGATGAAGATTGGGGTTGCTGTCCTATATGTAACATTGGTTTGGGCCGCACTCCAGTGGAAAAGCTAAGGTAAGTTAGTAATCATGGTGGCCATTTTACCATTTTTCACCATTGGACTAATGTCGGTAAATTGTGTATTGTTTTAATAGGATTAATAGATACATTTTCTTTTGCCAAGATGGTTTATTTGCTGATCCCTTTTCAGATTTTTTTAAATTTTTATTTGATAAATTTAAACTAACTCTTTTCCCAGATTTATATTATGCTGCCATGGTATATCTTTTATTGCTCCTTTCTGTTAAATTTGGCCTATTAATGCTGTTAAGCGGATTCACTGGTCTGTTTTAGTGTGATTTCTTCCAAATAGCAGCTTCTTGCAAATAGTGATGGATTTGCGTGATAGTTGTCTGTTTGTAATGCTGTTATAGATTTATGAATATTCAATTTTGTTGGAACTTACCTCAGTATAACAAGGAGGACATAAATATATTATCTTCAGCTTGCTTGACTAACTAAGTTGTGACATATCATAAAAAATTGATCAAGTTTTTAAAGAAATAATTGCTCTGAAATGCTAGCCCATTTCTTTAACACTTGAACTTATATTGAGCCTTACAACATTTACAAATAAATCTTCAGGCTTCTTCTTTTTATAAATATGGCCCTACATTATATACAAATCTCAACACTTCCCCTCAAGATGGGCAAATTATATCCACTAAGCCCATATTGTCATACAATCTAGACAAATCTAATGAGCTAAGTCATTTGGTGAGGCAGTCAACCATTTGCTCTCTAGTGGCTACATGATTTGGCTCTATTAGTCCGTTATTTAGCTTTTCCTTGATGAAGAACCCATCAATCTCCACATGTTTGGCTTTATCATGTTGCATCAGGTTGTTCGCGATGCTGATCGTTGACTTGTTGTCGTACCTCAACTTCATTCGAGCTTCGTGGTCCACCTTGAGCTCTACCAACAAGGCTTTCAGCCACATCATCTCAACAACTCCCAAGGCCCTATACTCTACTTCTGCTATTGACCTTGCTACTAGTGATTGTTTCGTGCTCATCTAAGAGACCATGTTGCCTCCCACAAACACGCAGTATCCAGATGTGGACTTCTTGTCACATACAACTCATTCAGTTAGAGTCATGTCGGTCGCCATGCGGCTGGGTGCGGTTTAATTTAGCGTAATATAGTGTTTAGAAATTAAGTATTTTAATTTAAAGAAAATGAATGGATTTAAAGAAAATGGGGTCAAACTGATCCCATTGATTCCTACAATTTGGATAATCGAGTTAACCACGAGTAATGTACCACCATAAAAAGGTAATACACTACTTGATAATAAGCTTAATTAAATAAACTATAGAAATAAATGACTTCCATTTGATCTGCAAGTTTGCATGATGACTGACAGATTCCCCTATTTGATATGGGAGTCAAATAGGGTTTATTTTAAGTCTGGGTTCTTTTAAGTTCCCTATAAGGGCAATCCCCTATAATTAATTACATCTTAAGCAAATGAATCACTTAAGAAAACTCTCGATAAAAATCAGGAATCTTTTGTTTTCATGAGTTCAAAAGGAAGAGTTTTCGACGAACATGATTGTGAAATTTTCAATAGGGATTGGTTCAAAGGTGAAAGATTTTGTTTTAAGAATCAAAGGAAGAAAAATATAGGAGATTAAAGATCTATAATAGGTTCTTGGCAATCTCCCAAACTATTCTAATGTTTGGCTCAATTTAGGATGATATTAATTTAAGTTAACTCTTGTCAGTTTTATCAATTAGGACTTAGATTTGTGTAATGGTGATTTACACAAAAAACCTAAAAAGATAAGAGGTTTTACATCGAGTGACTACCTCAGAATCTTAAAACAAGTTAGGACATACTGCATATCGGGACTATGCAGGAGCCTAATAAAAGAGAATTTTATGTCATAAAAGACAGCATCAGAATCCTAAGAATTGTTATTTAAACTAAAGAAAGGGTCTTTGAACGAGCTGCCCACAAAGTCTGCTCCAAGTTCCATACTCAAATGTCTTCAGGTCTTTATGTCTTCAGGTCCTCCAATCTTATTATTAATGTTTTATTTGTTTTAATAATTTTATAGTGAATTAATTAAATGGTAGTGGAGGTATAGTTCAAACCTAGGCCAATGCTAAGTTTACTTAAGCTAAGTAATTCCCTAATATTATGATTTCTAGATTCTCCCTAATCTAAACAACTTTTATTTCTTCATTATTTGTCCTTAACACATGCATTCTATGTTTGATAAAAGTAGTAAAAGAACATGCGTTGAGATACATAAAACAATAAATAAAGCAAATAAAGAAACAATGTTTTATCAAGTTTTTATTAAATTTTAATTATTTAATTAGTGGTAACCCAGTCAAGATGTCCATGGCTCCGTCGTCCCGGGTCGCCAGATGCTCTAGCTTACTTAGTCCAAAAGGTGGTTGCCCACAAAGACCGAAAGATTCTTGTCAACATCCACAGAACGCATTGTCCAAGAAATCTTCGTAAACTAGAACTAAAAGGGGTTTAAGTTGCGTTATGTGATCTTTGTGATTAAGATTTTGATTAATTCTTGAATTTCTTCATCAATTTTAGGGTTAAAATATTTTAGGTTGTTTACATCTTGTTGTCAAATTTTAAGTATTTTATTTTAGTTATTTTTGTTCACTTGTTATTACTTATGTGAAGTTGACGACTTTGAAGCTGACTTAACCTCAAAGCCATGCTTTAAAGCCTTGTTGTATTTGTTTTCGTTTAAGTTTTAATGTGTTTTATGTAAATTTTACCCCTCACAATGTATTTTATTTTATTTCTTAATTGATGTTCAAGTTGAGGGGTTTAGGTTTAAATTAGGCTTAAAGTTCTACCTAAAAGGTTCTCCTGTGTTCAACCTATGTGTTAGGTTCTTAACCTAAGGTTTAGGGTAGGTTTAACTTAAGGCTAAACTATGATCAGAGTCGGATTAGGGTTAACTAACCTAAGGTTTAGGTTAACTAATCCTATTGGTTTCGGGTTAACTAACCTAGGGTTTAGGCTAACTAATCTTATTGGTTTAGGGTTAACTAACCTAGGGTTTAGATTAGCTAATTCTATTGGTTGAGGGCTAACTAACCTAGGGTTTAGGTTAACTAATCCTATTAGTTTAAGATCACTAATCCTAATGGTTTAGGTCAAGGCTGACCTAAGATTAAAGTTTAGTTTAGGATGAACTTAATGTGTATGTTAAACTAAACTATAGTTCATGTTGATTAACTCTAATCTTCAAGAAGTTCAGTCTGAATTAAATGATAGGATGACTTAAATCTCAAGTTTTAAAATGATCCAACTGCTCAAGTTTAAAATAGTCCAACAATTCAAATTGGAATCAACTAAAGTTTAAGTTTACTCATTTACTCAGACGTTAAGTTTACTCAGACGAGACTCGGTCTAAAGACTGGCTGACCTAAAGCCCTAAATGACTGAAATTGGACTTAATGGGTGATTGACTCAATTCTTAAATTGGTTGACTAGGTCTGTAATCAGGTTAAACAAGACCTCAAGAGAATTGACTAGATTAGACTTAGGTTGAGCTTGGGTTAGGTAAACTTAGCCTAAGTTACTTAGCCTGGGTTAGGTAAACTTAGCCTAAGTTAAACCTGAACCCTAATTAACGTGTTTTAATTATAAAAATTATTTTAAACATGATGTTAAAATTATTAAACCTCTGTTAATGGTCAAACATTCAATCAAAGAGAGTTTTACAATTTTTATAATTTTTATAATTTTTAATTTACATAAATATGTCGTTTCATTCAAAAATTAAAATATAAATGTAAAGATACTAGAATGTCTTGGAAAAAAATCAGAGAATCTTTCCTAGAGAATCTTGCCTCAAGGTCATTTAATATTTCTGTCAAATTTCATATTTTTTTCACTCATATTTTAATTTTTATGATTTAAATACTCAAGAACTTCAAAAATTAATTTAAAAATATTTACTTGATGAAAAATTATGATTTTTATTTTGAAAAATTCTCCTCCTTTGTCTGAGTTCATAACATCTTTTATTTTATTTTTTTGAGTTTTCTATAAAAAGTTATGTAATTTTGAAATTTAATTATAATTTTTTGAAATAAAAAATAAAATAGATAAAAGTGCCGTATCTCCCCCTTCCCTCACGCGACACTCACCCAGCGGAACCCGCGACGCACGAAGGGAGGAGAGTCGACGGCTGAAATTTCCCAGTCGTTTCTCTGCCGATTCTCAACCAAATTTTGCGTTCTTGGGCTCGTTTTGTTCAGTTCGAAGAGTAGATCACATCTATACGGATACTTGAGTATTTTGTGATCTATTCTTCGATCTGGAAGGGAGGGAAATTCGAGATTATTATTTCAATTTAAGAGATATACCTGAGCCTATGAGGTTTGTGCTCAATTAGGTTTGAATAAGTAGGTCTTCCTGAGTTTATCTAACTTCTCGTGATGTTGTTTTGACGTGATTTTCTCGTCGGGTCGGAGGTTCGCCGGAATTTAGCTCGATTTTGGCTTTTCCGGCGACGTCGGCTTTTTTCCGGCGAGAGAGGTGAAATGAGAGCTGCTGTTGTGTGTGTGGAGAAGGAATGAAGAGTGGGGGGTGCTGTAGTGGGTTGTTGTTGTTGTTAAGGAGTGGTGTGTTTTTATAGAAGGAAGAAAGTGGGAGTATGAGAGTGAGAGAGATTTTTTTTTTGTTTTGTTTTGTTATTTTTTTTTTATCCACGCCTGAGATGGGATATGGGGGAGAGAGAGAGAGAGAGGTGGTTTGAGCATGCATGAGTTAATACTCTTATATATATATATATATTATTAATGCATTTAATGAGACATGTTGCATGCATGCGTGGGTTGAAATGAAATAAGGATGCTAAGATTTTTTTTTTTGTTTTTATTTTAAATAATAATGATAATATTATTATTATTTAAATTTCTTCATGCATTTTTTTTTGCCAAACACCTGTTTGCTATGAAATGAACGTTCTCTGAAATGAACGTTCTCAAACACCTGTTTGCTATGAAATGAACGTTCTCCTTA